TTTTCCATGGAAAATTATACCAATCGAACACAATTAATTATACATCCCAGTAAAACAATTTCTAGGAAAATCTTTTCCCTGTAAAACATTTTCTTTTCACCCATTTTCCATCCTTGCAATCAAACGGACCCTAAATGATTTCAGTAGTTTACTTCTCTAAACATTGAGCTTATCTTTGTATTTATTTTTTACTTTTGTTTTGGCTGAAAACCTTATTTCATTAACAAGGTTTAGTTTGTTGTTATGGTATTTTTTTTATAATTGTGAGGAAGAGTTAATTTAGAAGTTTATTGGTTTGGAGACTTCAAATACAATTAACATGAACATATATGATCTGTTTATCTTCTATCAGGTTCTTATATTATGAATTGCGTATTTTTCCCATATATTCAAGTTATGGTATATGTTTCATCTCTCAAGGAACTTTGCTGGGTGTTACTTTTGCCCTTGATTTTCTTTTTCACTTTGTATAAAACATTTATTTGTGATTATTTTTATCATTATTTTTATTTTTTTTTTGCTTATTAGTTATCATCAGTTAGTCTTGTCACAATACTATCCTCATGTAAGTTTCATCTCAGCGTAGGTGTTCTTTGGAGGATTGGATAGTGAAAGTGCTTTCCGACATTGATCTGTCAAGAAGTGCTCCTGTAGCATTTTTTCTTGAATTGGAAGAAGCTGCAAGGTCGTGTATGTATCTCTCTGCTGTGTTTTCTCGCAATTCTTCCTGTACATTCGTGTAAATATATTTATGTCTATTCTGACGAACGTCTGCCTTCTTGTAAACAGAAATTTGTGTTATAACTTATTCACTTCTATTTGCTTTTACTTTCTGATACTTTTCAGCATTCTGTGAGTCTAGTCATCAGGAGTCAGATGTAAATTTGGCTGGCAATAGTAACATTCCATCATATCCAATTTCTAGCCACTCAACTGTCTCTTCTATTACGGGCACATCTGCCATAATATCGAGTTGTGGCGATGATTATGCTTATGAAACATCTCAGATTGGGACACCTAAGCATTGGAAGGATAATTACTCGGAACTTGGCATGGAAAAAGCAACACCTGACCATGATTTAGCTAGTCCAGCAGAAGCAACCATAAAAGAAGGCTTGTCTGGAAATGATGATGCTAAGCTCTCAAAGGAATTCATGCAAGGGAACCAAGAAAAAGATTCGCATAGCGAATTGTTTCATGGTAGAGTTAAAAGTGGTATAGACAGGAGCGAGATGTACAGAGATACTTCAAAAGCAATATCTCTTCATGAGTGCGGAATGGAACTCTCCTCAGGATCTGAAAATCCCATAATAGTTAACCATTGTTTGTCAAGAGAAAGCCCTGAGAATGACAAAGGTTCGCCCACACCAGGTGAAACTCTAAATTTGTGGGAGGCACAACAAATTTGCAGTACTTCATCTGACCTCTCTCGAAGTGCTGAAGCTTTCAGAACCATGGATATGCTTGTCAGCTCAGCTTTACAGTTTTCACACGAGACTTTACTTGTTCTTCCAACAGATGAACAACAGAAAATGAACAGGCTTCTCACTACTATGCAACAACGGGTAGCCACATCAAAGGCAGATATGGAAGATCTTATAACAAGATTAAATCAAGAGCTTACTGTACGACAATATCTCACAACAAAGGTATACTCCAAATCTGAGAAATCCTAAACGACACTTGATTAGTTTTTCTACGAAGTCTTAGTGAATTCATATTGTATTTACAAAAATCAGCTTCATTATTAGAGGTGGGTTTTTATTTATTTATTTATTT